GATTTTGGCAGCCATTATGGACAAAAGCGTTAGCGTTTTAGCGCATATTGTCGTAAAGACACTTATCTGACTTGCACGTCAGGTCTCCAGAAACTAAATTTTTTGTGAGCAGTTTGAGCAACTTACTTTGTGAATATATTTAAAATGGGAAGCGAGTCTTGGTCAGCCCGCCGCGGAGTGTGAGACAGACGTGGAGAAGCAAGACTACAGAGGTTAGTGACACACAGCTGCTCTGCCTGTCTGTCTCCATTGTGGAGGATCTTCTCACTCTGGCTGCAGCTGTACCATGACATGGTGTCTGCAGGAGTCTCCAACTGCAAGATGTTGTCACCGTTTGTGTAGTGACAGTAATATCCGCATTTTCAGTGCAAAATAAGAGAAAAGACACACGTCATCTCTGGTCTGAGTGCTGTAAATCATTTTGTTCATGTTCCCCTACCTGACCACTGGCTCCCGTTTTCACTATTTAGAAATATCTTATCTTTACACAGATGGGCTCATCCGCCGTTGCAGGTGACAGGTAGACATCAGCAGGAACCAGAGATTTTTTTAAAACTTAGTTAAAAGTTCCTTACAGGAACACATCCTACCTCTTTCTTCCGTTTAACATGAAAGCCAACAACTGCAAATAAATAACAGAAGAGAAAAATGTTACTTAGGTTCAAGATGAACTAACAACACCTGTAGTTTCTCCATTACATACAGTATGTATCCTGTTACTGTTGTTACTCTGTCACTGCTAATATATTCAAGTTTGAAACATCATCAGCCTCTAACATCAGCAGACATGTCCATTTGGTTGATGCCAATATTTCACTTTATCTGCTGACCTGATGCTGTACAGAGATCATTGTTTATCCCCAAACAAAACTAAGGGTCTTGTGGTGAGATGCCTCCATCTCCTGTTTTATTTTGGTTGAACTTCCTGTTTTCTTTGTGTCCCTGGTCTGGCTTGACTGTCTTTCAGAGCACTCCCCCTCCCCCCGGTCGTTGAAGCTGAGAGAAACTCCACACCTGTGCTGCATTGGCAATCAAGGCCATTGAAGAGGCCAGCAGCCCACAATCTCAGCGCCTGAGTTTTGTCTTCACTCCTGAGTGGTACAGACGCTTCTCCTGGCCTTCTCCTCGGATAAGTGCTTGTGACTTTTTTGCTCCCTGTGATTCTTTGTATGTCTTCCCACTTCCATCTCCTTTGCTTCTCCACAGTGTCTCCAGCCCACACAACAGCCAGCCAGCAAACCAGACTTTCTCTCGTGCCTTTTCCCCTGAGTTGGACATTAAAATGACATTGTTTAATTTGCTATCTGTGTCTGTGTCTGCTTCTGGGTCCACAAAATACACCACACGCAACAGGTCACAGATATAACTCCATCTAATATCTCTAAAGTTACCATCTGAATTATTGTTCAGTCACACAGTACACTGCCACAAACTACTTAATATATATAAGCATCATTATGATGACAGTTCACAATCTCTCAGTCACCTTCCCACTTAGAAGTGTCATCAGAGGAAGAGACACCAGATTCTTCCTCCTGTAAAGACAGCGACACAATCCATCAAACATCAACACATCACATGACTCTATTTCAGGCTGCAGTCTTAGAATATGGCAGTTTATGGATGTAATTTATGTAACATGAATCTAGACATCATCTTGATGTTGTCTGGGATGCTGGATATCACAGGATTTTGAGCAAACCAAATTAAATTTTCTGATTGACAGTATATTAATATTTCCTGCTGTGTGAATGACTTCTGAACTTACAATCACATTACTGACAGTGATGCTGCTTACAAAAGTTGGTTTATCCTATAGAATACTTTAGTCTTAAAGTTTAGACAGACTGTGACATCAATAATTTATTAGTGACATTTATCAGGCTACTTGTTTGAAAAGACAACTAAAGCTAATCTCAATGGGAAAAGGAGGGTGAAGCCATCATCATCATCGTCATCATGCTGTCCTCATCCTCCTTCATCATGACATAAACAGAGTTCAGAGTCTACTCCATGCTCTCTCTCTCTATTCATGGATCAGTTTCATGTTAATAAATACATAAGCTCCACAGTGTAAACATCATATTTGTCCCGACTCAGCTGAGAGGGACCCAACTGCAGTCAAGATGGCGGACCCAGAAGATGAACTTCTGCAATACTCACTCAGAATTACTTCCGGCGAAATAATTCCGGCGGACAGGCTTTCTCGTTGGCGGACTTCCGGCATCGAAATATTTCGCCAAAAGTTTGTTTTTTTGTCACATCCATGCTGTACGTTTCTAACAGAATTAATTTGTCCAGCTGAAAAAAACAAACAACATGTGGGAAGGTTATTCTAATGATCGATTTTTTTTTGTCAGAAGGGACTTCCGGTAGTCGGATTTAGTCGCTGGAAGCTTTTTTTTTCGCTCCATTCATTCCGTAAGAATCAAATTGAATTTATTATTGAGCTAAAAACCAAAATAAAACCTTTATGTATTATTTATGACTACTGTTTTGTTCTGATTTAATTCTGAAGTTTACAGTAATATGTATATATAGACTGATGTCCTCATATTCTGATAATTTGTCAGAATAATGTGTATAAATGTATATATAAGTTATCATCTTACTCAAATTCTTATGTAAGAGTTTGCTACAAGTATGGACTGTTTTAACCTCTTGTTACACATCATGTAAGAGTGTTTTCTAACTTCTCTCTCCAATAGCTTTATTACACAGCACATGAATGTTTCTTAACTTCTCTGTGACCTTGTTTCTCCTATTAGCAGGTGTGTGTGTGTGATGTATCCTCCACTGCGAATCGTGGGAAGTGATGAGGAGGATCCGCTCTTATCAGAAGGAGCTTGTTTAATGTCAACAATGTTGCCTTGACCCTCACATATTTTCTGTTGTTCATAATTATGCTTTATGAGAGTGCTTACGTTGCTGCACATATTTTTCCCCCATCCTTTAGTAACATTGTGTAACCAGGGACAACCCTAAATAAAGAGACTGGGCAGAAATACCTTCAGAATGGTTTTGAGATTGCAACTGAAACTATCTCTGTCCATTCTCCTCGAGTAAGAAACCATTGTATTTCTCTTCTTTATATGTTTTCAGTCATTTGTTGCAGGTTTAAGACCCAACATAATTATACAGCAAACATAATTTATGAAATGGTGTGCTTCCTGGTGAGCCTCTTCAGGATTGCTTGACTGTGCAAAATCCAAGTATACAATAATTGAAGAGACACAAGACACATGATCTGTTTAAGGTTCAGAAGAGCCATTTAGCAAAATCAATTGAATTGCGATATCATTACAGACTGTGTAAAGAAATGGGAAATTGTCATACAACTGCTTCAAAGATTTCTTTAATATTTTCCAAACAATAAATTGTAAACACAGTAAAAATATATAATCATATATACATATACAGGCTTCCACGTCCAATAATTGAGAGCGTTGCCGTTGGTGTGGTGGGTGGCTTAAAATATACTGCCACAGGCCATTATCTGCTCCACTCTGAGTCGGGTGATGCCATGCTCTTGAAGTACTTTGATCAAAAGCTGAAAAACAGTCAAATAATGTGAACAATTGAAGTTATGCAGTATGGGTTAATTGTTGTTCTTGAGCTTTCCAAATGAATAAAAACAACCTCCTAACAATCTCATCAATTTTCAAAGCAAGCTATATAGTTTGATCTACTCACCTCTGGGAGCATGACATCGAAGACAAAATCAAGCAAGTGAATCTCGCCTCTCTTGATGTTTTCGGATATGGTTGTTGCCTCCTCAATAAACCGCAGGAGCTTGAAGATCTATTGAAGAAAAACACAGAAAGTAAACAGCTTTCAAATGTAACATCGCTGAGAGTAAAAATACTCATGATGGATGGCATTTTTACTTACGCGCTGCTCACTCCAACATAGTGACCTTATCTTTAGATGCCGCTTTAGCCGGAGTGAGGTGGCGGGTTTCCTCCAAAGAAACATCCGGTTGGAGCGGATGTTTCCAGAGAGCAGATCATTGTGTAATGTGTGAAACCAAAGAGCAAGAGACAAAAATGTAATAATCTGAAAAAGAAACGGTGGCTTTAACAACTGAGAGTGCATTCAAAAGCAACCTTGATCTGTGTCTTAGAAAAGACAGCACCAATTCCTCCACTGTCAACAGCATCCTTGATCCTGCAGAGAGATAAAAAAAAGAGCAAGCCCTCATTTTTTCATCCTTTGCGTCTTGTATTTTTGACTGATACTATGTTTCCTTGATAAATAATGTTATACCGAGGATGCTCAATAGAGTCCTCGTAGCCACAGTCAAAGGGCTCCATGTCAATCCCAGCACAATCTTGATGCAGCCAGCCCCTGCATGTCTTGCACTGGACCCATTTTACAAATTTTCCTCAGGGTAAAGCAATCTGATCAAATGAGAGACAAACTTAATATTAAACACACACGCTGTCCAATTGATTATACCTCTGCAGCACATTTGAATGTATAAATAATTTCCCCGCATGATTTGTGCAAATAAACTATATGTAAAAGTGGTCACTTCATGGAAAATCACTGAATAGGCCCCGATAATTGCATTTATTAAATTGAGTCTGCAACACACCTCTCTCCTGTGGTGTCGGATGTCTGGTAGACACAGAATTTCATTGAATCTGCCATGCACACTCTTGGACATTAGATGTCGTCTGCGTCATGGTTTCCTGGACAAGTCAATTTGAAAAGTAACATCAATTACCAAATACATTGAGACAATGTTGATCCATACAACTGTGTGCATTTTGAAGGACTCCCACTGAAATAATACTTTTTTTAGAAGGCAATTTTCTAACCTCTGTGTCCTGCTGCTCGGCCTTCCTCTTAAGCCTGAAGACCGGAGTATGCTTTCCAGCAATAAGCTCCTGACATTCCTTCGTCCAGTGGGCAAAGATTTTCCCATAACTGTAATGACAATATATCTTTACGTACAATATATTGATTGTCTTCCAGGTAATTAGGGCATCTTATTTACTTAAACTGTCTACCTGTTCAAAGCATTGTTTTTTAAGAGCAACAGGCACCACCATCTCCGCAAAACAGGCATGTCATGCTGAAATTGTTGTTTGTATTTCATTTTAGTGCACAATACAAAATACAACCTTGAGGATGACACTGCGTGTTGAAAAGTACTTACAACTGAGTAGTCAAACTGTGACTCCATAACAATGTACATGGCAGACTTAAAAAAAATTATGAGACAACATGTGAGATAACTTTAAAAAAGTTGTAAAGTTATTCTAGATACTACAATATTTGTGCATTACAGCTCGTTATGACCTACCATCAACATGAATATGCCACAGTCTGAGCCGAAGTCCTGGCTGGGGAAGCCCTGATTTAACATAAGCAAACGTTAATCATCTTGTCACATACATTTTTCAACTGTAATATAGAGCATGCACAAATACCTCTAAATCTCTGCCCGTTTTCTCATTCCATTGCCCAGGACATATCTTCTGCGCAATGCTCCTGTTAATTTGAGAGCGTCACTTAGATTTCCTATAATGGAAACAATGGAATGCAGGGTTAGGGTTAGTTTGAGTGGGTCGGAGGTGAGATTGAATGAATGCGGACGGCTTGCTATTTTCAAACTTCCTGAAAGTTCTTCTTCTGTAAATTTTGCCGCAAGAAAGTTTAGGTGCATACCGCCACCTACTGTTCTGGCATCGCAAAGCCTGTCCATCGGAGGTAATTCTGAGTGAGCATTGCGGAAGTTCATCTTCTGGGTCCGCCATCTTGGCTGCAGTTGGGTACTCTTGACTCAGCTGGTCCCTGATGTCAGAGCAGATACAGGCTGCTAATTAGTCGCTAACTGTTAGCTAACGGATATTAGCGATAAGCTAACCCCCATGGTTAGTTGAGCACATTGACACACAGTTATCTCTTTTATTGTTGCTTTAACTTACGCAAGAGAATCATATACAAGTAAAATGAACAGCACATTATTATAATGTAAGCAACAGTAACTCAAAACTCACCATTTCCTTCAGCAGCCCGTCTTTGCAGCAGCGCAAGAACGTGAAGCTTCAGACTAGTCTGAGCGTGTAGGCGCGGACAGCGAGGAGCGCTTGGTTTATCACTCCGCACACAGCAGGGTAACCCCCCACACAGCAGGATAACTCCGCACATAGCGGGGTAAAGGTCCTTACACACCAGGCGTGATTTCACCAGGCTAATTATTCACCTTTATTCGCCTTTTTTTGAAACAGCATAAAGTCAATGCAAGCTTCCACACTGGTGCCGATTTTTCCATGGGGCGAAAAGCGTCTTTTATTTTTTCGCTCTTGTGTTGAATTTTTCAGAGATTCGCAGGCGAATATCTGGACCTGCTAGACCTCTGGCCAATCAAAAGTCATGTTGCTGATGACGTCATAGACCCATGCGGCTGCAGTTCACACGACACACACCACCACTGGCACCAAGAGAAATGATGGGAGAGAGTGTGTACCACAGAGTGGCTGCCCCGTGTGTATAAGCGAAAGCGATTTTTCTGACCAGCGAATATTCTCGCATTTTTGTCTCGCTTTTTTGCTTCGCTCCACAAATTCGCTGGTGTGTAAGGACCTTAACTCTGCACACAGTCGAGTAATTCTGCACAGCAGTGTAACTCCGCACACAGCGGGGTAACTCCGCACAGCAGGATAACTCCACACACAGTAGAGTAACTCTGCACACAGTTAAAGGACCGAAACAGACACTAACGGGCCAAATTACTAATAAATCAATAGTACTTTTAATTTTATCAAAGATAGATAAAGAAACAAATACAGCTGTATGCAAGGCGTAGTGATGGACAGATCAGTGAATATTTTTAACCATCGGAGCTGAAGGAGGAGGGCGGGTGGGCCTTTTTTTTTAAATTTAATTTAATTTTTTTTAAGATAGTTCTGGTCAAGACTGCAGCTGTTTTTCATGTTTAAATGAAAAGTTATGTACAGAAATCACCACATTTACTAATAATAGATAAATAACCAAATACAGCTGTTTGCTGCATTATGATTGACAAATTAGTGATTATTTTTTACCATCGGAGCAGGGAGGAAGTGACATTTTTGATCTGTTTTTTGATCTTTAGATAGTTCTAGTTAGGACCACTGCTGTGTTTCATGTTTAAATGAACATGTTATGTACAAAAAAATCACCACATTTACTAATAATAGCCTAATATAGCGGTAGGCTACAGTTCAAGGATACTTCACTACCCTTCAGCATGGCCATTGCCAGAGCAGGAGGAGGAGCTAGTTAGGACCGCTGTGAGTCTGAACACACTCATCATCATGTGGCAGACATTTTGAGATCTCACTCTCAGGTTTTTAAGATAGTTCTAGTCAGGACCACTGTGAGTCTGAACACACACATAATCATGTGGTCGCCATTTTAAGATCTCGCTCTCGGGTTTTTGAGATAGTTCTAGTAAGGACCGCTGTGAGTTTGACCCATAGACTGTATGGACAACTTGGTTCCGCCTACTGCCTGTATAAGGATTTGAAGCCAATTAGCTCTTGGTATTTCCGTGAGTTTTCTTTATTTCCTGAAACCAGCAATGTGCAGTAGCAATGCGCAGTTGCCAAGAGTTCGCTGTGATAATGCCCGGCTCAAACAGCGTATCCCCAGGGAGAGCTATGCAATCCCTGAACACCCATAGGCTGTATCAGGTGTCAATCATAGAAAACATGAACCCCCTTATAACTTTTAAAAACAGAGCTTCACAGAAAAAAGAGGACTTGAGCACAAACCAGTCTTACAATAACTACATGTCCACATCACAAGCAGGGGGGAGAAACGTTTATATTCTGTGTCTCTTAGCCCCTTTCTATAAAACGAAAGTTACGTATGTAACTACGGTTCTATGAATCCCGAATGACCGCCAGAGGCGGTGCTTAATATTCCCCTCGAGTACTTGTACCAAAATGGTCATGTGTGACCCCTGATGCTCCAGGAGAGTCTATAACTTCCGGAGGCCATCAGGGGGTCAGTCCCAACAGAATCTTCTCGTGAGAGCCCAAGGATTCTGAGTGACATGAGCTCTGGCGGTCATTCAGGATTCATAGAACCGTAGTTACATATGTAACTTTCATTTTATTTCATCCCTGCTGACTGCCAGAGGCGGTGCTTAAAGCACTGAATGACTTTTACCAGCAAAGTCACGAGGAATCCCGTCACAAACCTCAGAGGGTCGAATCAGACGACTCCGGGAGAAGGACCGCACCCAATGGATGGGGGGTGGCAACATTCTCTGTATAAAACCTCGAGAAAGTGCCCGGCGATGTCCATGAGGTGGTGGCACATATATCTTCCAATGTCACCCCTTTCATTGCGGCCCATGATGTTGAGACACTTCTGGTAGAGTGGCAGCATATACCAGGTGGAATGGGGTGGTTGCTGGCCTTGTAGGCATAGCTAATAGTGTCCACGTCCCAGTGGGACAGGCGCTGCTTAGAGAGAGCGCAACCTGCATTAGGGCCACCGAGGCAAATGAAGAGTTGTTCAGACCGCCGAATGCACACAGTAGCCCCAATATAGGCCCTCAGGGCCTGCACCGGGCAAGAGAGCTCCAGCCTGTCTGTCCTCTCTCCTGGTGCAGGGTCAAACCGGGACAGCCGTATAGGCTGGTTGATGTGTGAATGAGGCAGCACCTTGGGAAGCAATGCTATGTTCGGCCATAAGGTGACACCTGACCCATCCGAATTCCACCTCAGACATGAATCGCTGACTGATAGGGCATTAAGCTCACTGACACGCTTTGCAGATGTAATTGCCAGAAGGAATGCGGTCTTGCATGACAGCCACTTCAGGTCCGTCTGCGCCAGAGGCTCGAAAGGAGGCTTGCTTAGGGCATCCAATACATTGTTAATATCCCACACCAGAACTCTCTGGGTTCCAGGAGGGTTCAGCCTCCAAGCCCCCCTCATGAATAAGGACACCAGACTGTGGCTTCCCAATGTGACACCATCAACTCTGGCGTGACGGCATGATATGGCTGCCATGTAGACCTTCAGGGTAGATGGAGATCTGCCCTCACCCAGGAGCGACTGCAAGAACTCCAGGACCACAGGCCCGGAGCAATGCACAGGGTCATCAACCCGATTCTGACACCAAGTGGAAAACAGCTTCCATCTATTGTCATATTGTAACCTGGTGGATGGCACCCTCGTGCTTATGATGGTACGTTGCACCTGGTCCCCACAGCTGCTCAGCAGCGGTCCAGGCCCCCCAGCAGCCAAACACACAGTTTGAGGCGGCTGGGTTTGGGATGCCAGATCCGGCCCCCTAGCTGAGAGAGTAGATACTTCCTGTCTGGAAGACACCATGGTGCCCCACGGTAGAGTTTGTGCAGCAGGGGAAACCAAGTTCTCCCTGGCCAGAAAGGGGCCACCAGCAGTCTGGTGTGCCCCCCCTGAAGAACCCTCTGTAGAAGTGGCCGTATCAGAGGGAGGGGCGTAAAGGCGTAAAGAAGTGCCTCTGGCCATGGGTGAGCCAGTGCATCCTGGCCCAGAAGGCTGGTTGTCTCTGCTAGGAAAAACCAGAGAGGGCAGTGAGTCGATGCTTCCGAAGCGAAGAGGTCTATCTCTGCCCTGCCGTCGCGGCCCCGGATTGCATGCCTCACCTCTGGATGGAGGCGCCACTCCCCCGGAGGAGGCTTCTGACGGGAGAGAAAATCGGCAGGTTGATTCTGCTCTCCTGGTAAATACATTGCCAGTAGGCTGGCCAGACAGGGGGCTGCCCATGTCAGGAGGTCCTTGGACACCTGCAGCAGCTGTGCAGATTTGGTCCCGCCCTGATGGTTGATGTGATACACCGTTGAGGTGTTGTCTGATCTGACAAGTACATGCTTGCCTTTCAGGTATGGCAGAAAGTGCTGAAGGGCCAATTGCACCACTCGCAGCTCCAGCACATTGATGTGCTCTGCACCAACTTCCACAAACCACTGACTGCGGGCTGTCCTGCCCTGTCATACCGCACCCCAGCCTGACAGGCAGGCGTTGGTGGAAACGATCTCCCTGCTGGACGGGATAGACCCCATGGGGACACCCCCTGAGATGTAGGCCCTGTCCCTCCACTGAGCTAGGGCCAGAAGACACTGGCGCGACACTACGATCTTCCTCAGCCCATGCCACTTGGCGTCCAGGTGGAAGCTGTTGAGCCACTTCTGCAGGGGCAGAAGCAACACAGCAACAACAAACCAAGCGGGACAGCCGCTGCAACAGAAGTCAATTTGCCCAGGAGATGGAGGAATGTGAGGAGTGGCAGTCGCTTGCCTCCCCGGAAAAGGAGCAGAAGATCGAGAATATCGTCCACCTGGCAGGGGGACGGACAGGCTTCCATTGTTATGGTGTTCAAGGCCAGACCAATAAATGTTGTTGTTTGTGATGGTACAAGGCAGCTCTTTTTGACATTCACCTTGAGTCCCAGTTGGGCCACGTGGGCCAGGAGGCGCACTGTCTCCTCTGCGGCCTGTGCCCAGGATGGTGTGCACACCAGCCAATCGTCCGGATAAGGGAGTATCTTCATGCCCTGTGATTGTAGTGGTGCTAATGCTGCTGCAATGCACCTGGAGAAAACCCTTGAAGACAGAGAGAGGCCAAACTGTAGCACGCGGAACTGCCGGTGGCGGCCTCGATAGGCAAACCGAAGGAAGGACCTGTGTACCAGGGCGATGGGGACATGGAAATATGCGTCTTCCAAGTCCACAGATTTGAACCAAACCCTGCAGGCAACAGTCTGCAACACCTCTGCCGTAGTCAGCATGTGAAAGGGCATGGCCTTGAGGAACCGGTTGAGTCCCCTGAGGTCCAGGATGGGACGATGTCTGCCAGTTATTTTCTCAATGAGGAAATACGTCGAGTAGAATCCCCTGGGATGTGACAGGGGATCCACTGCTTTGATGGCACCCTTGGTCAGGAGGAGGTGCGCCCACGGGTCTGAAGCTCGAGCAGCCCAGTACCTGAGCTGCTGGTGTGAAAACATTCCGACAGCTGGCCCTGTAGCTTCAGCGCCTGGCCCCCTGACCCCTAGGAGCCCTGGTGGGGGGTCGTCCAGGGTCCCGGGCCGGAAAGTGCCGGAAGGGAAATGGGGCAGAGGCCCGTGAGTCGCGGGTCTGTGCCTGCGTAGGTTGCTGAGGGCAACGTTGGCCCACAGTGTGAGGTGGTGGTGGAGGGCGAGCCCTGGGGGCAGACATGGCCCTACCTCTGCCAGAGGGGGGCCTGCTAGGAGGAGGCATATGACGGAGACTTGCAAGCTGTTGCCTGGTCTGCCCCGCCTGAATAGTCCTCTCAAACGCTTCCTGAGCACCTGAGCCAAACACTGTTCCTGGCTCCACTGGAAGGCTCCTGAGGGTTCTCCTCGAGGCCTCAGTCAGATTTGACTGTGACAGCCAGACTTGGCGTTGAGCCTGGACAATAGTGGACATCATCCGCCCGAGCTCTCAGGTCATGTGGCCAAATGCCTCAAGTGCTGCATCACACATGGTGATGGTATCACCATTCACATTCCCTGTACCCAGGTTGCCTTCTTGCAGGGAGGCTGAGAGAGCAAGCATAAGGTGTGAGAGGTAGTTCCCAATACGGCCAACGCGTGCCCCAGAGTCATAAGCCCTAACAAGCAGGTCATCAGTTATCCTGCACTGGGTCCGGAGGCACCTGGTCTCCCGGCACAGAGTCTCGCTGGGGGAGACGATGAGGGATGCGATGGCTGGCTCAACAGCTGGCATATGATTCAGGCCCACTGCCGCCGCATTATGCATGGCTGCCAGAGTTCGAGCATCAGCAGACATACAGGAGCCGGCCCTAGTGTCCATCCAACTAGCCTGTAGTTCCCTGAGGAACTACTATGTCTTCCACCTGTAAGACATTCAAGTTTTGGCGCTCCAAGGCCATGCGCATAACTGTGCGCATAGAGTGATCTCCCGTCTCTGTTCGGGAGCTCTGGCCAGAGGAATAGGAGCCTGGATCAGACACCTGGGATGCACTGCCTTCTGCGTCTTCCCCATACTCATGAAAATGAGTGGGTGAGGCTGCCAGGGAGAGTGTATCCTCCTCCAGCGTGAGATGGGGCATTGGAGGGTCAGATACCCCTGCCTCCTCTAAAGGGGAGTCAGGCTGGTGGGCCATTAACATAGACCTCATCTGGGCCAACTCAGCAGATAGCTGATTAACCTTGGATGTCAACTCCTGATCAGACCTTGGCTTCTTTCTGGGAGGGGGGGCGGCACTGGTGGTGGCTGCCTCAGCCTTGATTGCCTGGTTTGGAGTGGAGGGGGCTGGCCTGATGGAGTAAGAGTATCCCCACCCTGTGGCTGCCCTATCTAAGCCAGCCTGGCAGCCCTCACAGCCAGAGGCATATAGCTGCAGTTCATGCAGCTATAGCAATTGTCCAGCGCTTCACTCAGATGCTCGGGACCAAGACACCTAGGACACAGGTCATGGCCATTGTATGGTTGGAGAGGGGCCTCGCAGGAGGAACAAAAGTGTGAGCCCTCCATCACTGGTCACCACGAGGACAGAGCACGCACGCCACCGTTCGTGGTTGCGAACCTGTACTTAGCCATACGCTGGGGGTTGGGAGCGCGTATCCTGCCTGCACCAGCAGAGGCTGACGTGTGGTTGGGGTACAAACAACTCGCTGTGGGGAGGAAGCGCCTACGCTGCCTGCACCAGCAGAGGCTGTCACCAGAAGTGATTGTTAAGCAAATATCATTAATATCACTATCAATAATAATGATGGTGATGAAAATAGCAATAATCATAATAATAATAATAACAATAATGATAATATCTATGGGAATTTAAGTATATTGTATAAACATTTTTTTTTTTTTTTTCAATTAGACCATCCACTACTTGTAGTTAGCTACACAGTAGAGGCCACAGGCTGGGGGAAAGCAAAATTTACATGCACTAACAATGGGAAAGTTTCCCAAACATGAAAGAAAACCCCACTGTTAGTGACTAGCTAAACCATAGGAGCCATAGGCCGTGGGAAGGGAGCGCTTAGCTGCCTGCACCAGCAGAGGTAACTACAAACCACAAGCTACGCCAAGTGACTGTATAACAAGAAGACCCAGAGTTCGCACACGGAACTCTAGACGGTATTTGGATTTAAGTAGAATGAAAGGAAATCCCAGCATCAACCAAGCAACCAACCAAACCTTCCCGCTTGCCGCAGGGGGGACGATCCAGAAAACAAAACACCGCTGTAGCAATACAGCGGGATACCTGGGAAAAAAAGGGAAAGCAACAACAGAGCGCTAACAGCACCGTTCGAAGCAAACGAAAGAACCTTAGCTGGAGGAAGACGGCGCGCACGCAGCCCATACCAACGGAGGAACGAAACAAACACAAATCACAGTCGCTCAAACATGAACGACTCAAACGCGGATACCACCGCCAGTGGTCTCACCTGTCGTTGCCCGGAGGGGTAGCAAGAATCCTTCCTCGTGAGACTCCAATTGTTGTGCTATAGCATCCAGGTGCTAGCTCCGGCAGCGTTCCAAGTCGCAGTTCCTGGAGGGCGAACGCTCGCTGCTCCGACCAATTTATGGCCACGGAACCACAAGCGACTTTGCCGACAAGCACAGTTTAATAATTAAACAAGTGAGGGAAATGTTCCACAACTCAATCGCACGAGAAGAAAAAAGAGACTGACCCCCTGATGGCCTCCGGAAGTTATAGACTCTCATGGAGCATCAGGGGTCACACGTGACCATTTTGGTATAAGTATTTGAACTATGCACGCGCGAAGGGAACATTCAGTGCTTTAAGCACCGCCTCTGGCTTTCCTATAAACTTTCCTGCAAAAAGGATTTAATTTTAGCCAATTTAAAACAATATGCTCTTTAAAAGTAGCTGAATCCCTGCTACAGCTGCAATGTAGCTGGGGATCCCCCCCCCCCAAAAAAAAGAAAAGAAAAAAAATTGTGTGTAAAAGATTGTATGTGTGTGTGTGCTCGCAGGCAGGCCGCTGAACTTGGAAGCAGGCCAGGCCAGCAGTAAAAGGGTTTAATTAATTTATGTTTGTTGCTGTGGCAACTCGTAACTGGTTCGACCGGAAGTAGAGCTCTGAGGTGATCGGCCGCAGATGCGTTGATCGGGCATTGTTGTCCACTCTGCTCCCGAGCTGATCGTGTTTCTTTCTCCTCCTTCCCCTGAGGCAACGTCTGTAGGTGCTATTCGAGCTGTCACTTTAAGATGTGATTGTTTTGAGTTTAATAAGGTCGCCAACCGACACCGAGATGACTACAATGCTAGTGGTGCATGCTAATCCAAGTTTTATGCCTCTCGAAAACTTTACATTTTTCTGACAGGCTTTCAACATTTTATTATAATACAACAGCAATGTGGTAGGCTACATTCTTAGTTTAAATGAGTAAACAAATAGCTAAAGGCAGGACTAATGTGGAGTTTTTATAACCATGACAAATACCCTTCTGTAAAATCTAGTTCAGTAGGCTATGGGTGCATCTAAAAGATTGTTTACATTTTTAGTTCACATTTTTGTTGAAATAAAGAGTTGTGTCACAATGAGATTTTATTTTATTTTATTTTTTTTTTGTCAAATAAAGTATGCTGTGAAGCTGTTGCATAGAGGCATATTTTTGTTTTTACTTCATATTAAATTAGTTATGAAGCCAATGTTGAATTCTTCACATTAGCATTATATTCACTAAATCTGGCTTCAAATGTCCAAAACCTTTCGCAGGTTCCGGCATTTCCGTGTCAATGTGTATTGGCCTGGTCTGGATGGAGTCAAACTCCTGGCCGGAATTATGGTCCCAGTCTGCCCTTGGAAACAACACTAAGTATGAATTAAACTGTTAAAGTTCATTTATAATTCTCTGTTTTATAGACTGGCATGATCACTAGATATAACTAAATGTTCCCCTTTCTATTACTATACCTTTAAAACAAGCTGCATATTTCTATTTATGAATATTTCTCATACTTTAAAGTGAAAGATCAGCCAAAAGGATGACAAACAGGATATAAATGTTGTGTAAACAGCAAAAACTACTTAGTTGTTGTTTGCAACCACACTTAGTCAATGTACTGGTATACCTTAAAAAATGGGGTAATGATAATGTGCTGAACATAATCATAAGGTTATTATGTGAAGTCTTAGATATGGCTGTAAACAGAGGCTAACCAAAGAAGCAGCAGATTGTTAGTGAGCTAGCTGTAGCAGCTCTCTTAAAGATGATTTAACAGTTTAATAAATGAAGTTACTGTTATTGTCAGTCAAAAAACAAATTGGGTAACTAATAAATCAAACATTTCGATTTTCTAACTGTTCTTTTGTAAGATTTTATTTAACACTAACAATCTACCAGAAGAAGTGCACTACAGAATAAAAGCATGCAGGGAATAAAGCAACCTAAATGCAAGACAGAGGATCCATCAAAATAAAAGCATGACAAGGGATTTTTTTATTAGGCAGTGTCTTCCTAGGAAAAGTTTCACTCAGGTGGCTGGAGATATGTATAAACAACAAGTGTGAACATTATTTGAAATTGTGCTGCCCTTGTCTTACCTTTTTTTTTTTTTTTTATCTTAAATGTGTTTTATTTTCAAGTTTTTCTTAATTGTCAAGATAATGTTATCATCATAGTTTTATGGCCAAGATTATTGCAAGTTAAAAATCTGATATTATAACACTAGTCAGCAACAAAGTTAAATTTTAGAGTAACTATTTTGTGAAACAGATACTATTACAACAAATAAAGAAATTAAGTCTCTGTAGTTCCTGAAACCCTGTTATTCCTCCCCTGTGTCAGAGTAAGTCAGGTCTGTGGGATCCTGAGGACAGTGTCAGAGTGTCAGCTTTGTTGACAGACTCTCAGGGAGGTGAAGCTCTGACTGACAGCTTCAAACAGACACACACAGTGAGCACTGTCACCTTCACCACATGTCAGGCCCCCACCCTTACCACAGCTTAGTGTTTGCAAACAGTAACAGTGAGGAGGCTAGAGTGTGGGGCCAGCTCACTCTGAAAGGAGGGCATTTGTGTGTGTTTGTGTAGTGCATTGTGGCATTTGTGTGTGTTTGTGTAGTGCATTGTGGCCTTGGCCTTTTGATGCCACAAAAAACAGGAAGAGAATTTGTTTCTGAGCGAAAAAAGGGGCTTGGCTTTTCTGGAAAGAAGAACTGTGAGGGGTTACTGGAAAGGGGGGCGGCTCTTTTTCACAGTGATCTTCCTTTTATTTCACATTATTTTTAGTGGAGCAAGTTCACTTTTCTTGGAATGAGAGGCAGCTATTTCTTTGAAGAGAAGTCACAGCCCTTGTCTAAATTACACTCAGTGTTTTTTTAGCACAGTGGGTGTGGGTGTGAGAAACTGAAGCAAACCTCAGAAAGTTACCTAACGCTCAAATACCACAAGTATGATCACAACAGATCGAACCAAAACCTTTACTATGCCACTTTGCTTATTTATTAACAGAGAGGAGCCAAGCACATTTACAAAGTAAATAATTTTACTTGTCGACAATGTTGCAAAAATAAAAGCTACTTTTAATTTTTATCTCAGTTTATTTGGATGACACAAACTTTTAGTATTTGTGGTTAATAACTGATTTGACTTAGAAAAGAAGCACTTAAGAAGCCAAGTCAGAGAGACATCAACCAAAGAAGAAAGCAGGCATAAAGCAAACTCAAACCACGACACAGTCAGTGCGTTTACATGCAGGGCTTAATTGGGGCTTTGTTACGGGGGGCTTGGCACACGCGCACATGCACTGTCCAATTGTACTCCGACTACGCTGGTTACATGGTAGAGAAAATCAAATTCCAATCGCATTATCTGGGTGTCTTAATCGAAGTTTTTTTCAAACTCCGATTATAGTAGGACTAAGGTGTTTGCACCTGCACATGCACAACCCTGTATAGCTGCTGCTACTATGAAAATCTCTTTGCTGGTGATCTGGTAAGAAAAAAACGCAAATGTCAAGTTTAGTTTAAGTTGTTACAGTAAAGCAGGTTATTGTTAAGATGTCAAATTTAATTCAACTAATAGGTGCTCTGAGTAGAAAACTGTTGTCATGGAAATGCTGGTTGGGAGGGATAGTGTTTACGTTCAAGATTTCTCCCCAAAACTGGCACTTACTCAAATCATGCCTACCCCACCTTTAGGA